AACACAAACAGGAAGTTAATGAACCCATCAAAACACAAACAGGAAGTGAAATTAGTCCAGACACTTGATCAGGACCATTTCTCTTAAGACATAAACTCATTTTAATATAAACTATAAATATTTGAATCAGTTTGTTTTCAGCCAACGTGTAAACGTTTCGTGTGTAAAATATAAACCTGGGATTCTGTTTGTTGTTTCAGCGATTTTAAAATCCAGTTAAGTTTTTTGATTTTAATCTTTTTGGATCAAGATGTCGACTTCTGCCTGTGGAGCTTTATTTTGAAAAGGAATTTACCGGACACGTGGAATGTCTCCTTGGTTCTGTTTCTGAGAGTCGGTTTGATGGTTATGCTGGATTTAGGGACGTGTCCAGTTTCCTCGGGGGTGGAGAACATCTCCACCTGACGATGACGCCTCGACTTGGAGACCTCAAGAACACACACACACAAACTGACATCATTTCATCCCGTTTTAATCACGTGAACTCAATATGCTTATCTCCCGCTGCCATGAAAGGTGGGTGATCATGTAACAGTCTCCTGTGTGTGTATGTGCATCTGTTAGTAAAATAACTCGTGAACCTCTGAACAGATTTTAATGAAACTGTCAGAAAGAAATGATTGGCTGAGCATCAAAAAGATGGCCGCCGCAGCTACTCAACCTTAGCCAACAAGTTCGTAAAACAAAGTTTTTAAACAATAAAAGACTTTTAGATCCCTGAAACGAAGAAAACATAAAAACCCAGCTTCCCCCCTCAGGGTGTGTTCGGGAGGACTCTCAGCTACTACCACACCAACATAAAAACATTTATGTTCTTGAAAGTTGATTAGCTGTGGCGGCCATCTTGAACCAGACCGACTCCAAATATTAACCAGTTGTAGACGAACATCCAATCATCGCTTTGAGTTTCATTAAACTCCGCCCACTTATTCATCAGATATTATGCTAACAGAACAATGAACTGCCAAATAACTTCAAGGCAGCAGGCGATAAAAACATGTAAAAAGAAATGAATTATTGTTTAAAAATGGTTTTATTTTGAATATAAACACAAAGAAGTGAAGAAGGAACCACCCAAACCTCGGCTGCTTCTCCGTAAGCCTTCGACTTGATGGAAGCTATGAGCTCGGCTCTACTGGAGCTCTGCGGACACAAACAGGAAGTGCTTTAAAAACAACAGTAAATAAAAACAACACCTCAGTGTTTCTAAACCTGCCGTTTCTCCGTCTGCACCGATGTGTTAGGATTTTTAGCCACAAGTTGTTCAGAAATTTAAATTTGTTTTTGTTCTTCAGGAAACAAGCAGGAACTCCAAACACTGCACGGTGGATCAGTGGTTAGCTCTGTTGCCTCACAGCAAGAAAGTGCAAAGTTCAAGCCCCGAGTCGGACCTGTGGTCTTTCTGTGTGGAGATTATATGCTCTCCCCGTGAGGTTCCTCCTACAGACCAGAATCTGCATGATCCGGTTGCCTTCAGGTCCAGGAGGACCAGAACCAGAGATCTGTGACCTCGTTGGGTTGGCACGGCTCAAGTATTGTTTGGTCTGAATCCAAGAGAAACTGTTCTACAGATTTGTGTCTCCAAGCTGTCCCTGAGTGAGGACACTGATCTGTGGCTGTTGGAGACTTAACCCGGACTGTGGACCTGCACATGGAACCCCCCTCTAAAGCCGACCCGTTCAGGTTTTTAGACGTGGACCTTTGGGGCTGCAGCCTCAGCTGTGTTCTGTCACAGCAGAGCTCCTGCAGGGGTCAGGACACACATCTGGAATTACAGAATCGAAATCCAGACGGGTTCAGAGAAGATCTGCTGCAAAATCTTTTTGAACGAGTTCAAACTTCAAGCGACGAGCCGGAGAACGTCTCACACAAGGACATTAAGAACCCCCTGAAATGTGCGGAGACATTTTAAAGACTACTCATGAACGCCGTCCACAGACGAGTCTCCCAGAGAGACACTGGCTTCATGCGTCTCTGAAGACTTCCCCTGGACTCTGCAAAGACCCTCCAGATTCTGGCTGCTTGTTTTTAATAACAGCCAGTGTTGCAGGGCCCCAGTCAGAGTGAAGGGGACCCAGAGAAGACTGCTGCTGTTTATACAGACGGTCCAAACCACCCGAGGACCCTGTAGGACCCACAGCTGTCCCTCGGCTCACCGTCGAGTGTTTTCATGTAGATCTTTGTTGGAAAACTAATAAAAATTATGACCAAATATTATTTACCTCGTGCTGAGAAGAAGTTCCCTCCAGGCTGTTTTTATTATTATCACCAGTTCCCTGTCAGAACAACAAAAAACAGGATTAGGATTAAATCCACATCACTCATTAAACTTTTACACGTCTTTCATTTTAATCTCATATTTGAACATATTTGATACTTTTGTTTGCATATTTGTACATTTCTTATCAAAAGACAGCTGAGGGCAACACTTCCTGCGACGTCCCACCTTTCTCTGCTGCCAGGTGTAGAAGTCCAGCACCGTGCTGCGAAGCTGAGAGACCAGGTCTTTCTGGATCAGATTAAGGGACGAGTCACCCGACTCCATCTTCTGAGAGACAGCGGACGTCTTCATCTTTGTGTAGAGGTTGTTGATGTTGGACATTTCCTGCAGGAGGACAAACCGAACCTTTCAAAACTCAAACTCTGAAGAGTCACAGTCCAGCAGCGAGGCGATGCTCACCTCCAGCAGCTCGGAGTGGATCAGTTCCTGCGGACGAGACGTTTGCTCCACAAATGACTCGCACAGCTCCGACCTGTTCTCAGTCCGCTTCCTGTTGTAGAAAAGCTGCACGGAGAGGAGGAGAGAAGACAAAATGCAGGTTTTAGAGCTTCTTCTCAACATTTGATGCCGTCTCAGATCAGTCCAGGTTATAAAACCTTCAAACTGAAACTTGAGGTTTGACTCTTGAAGCTCACCAGAACCGGCATCGCCGTGAAGTGGAACGCTTTGCACGACATCAGCTGTCGAAGGACATATATGACGTCCAGGTGCTGAGCGGACACTGCGTCCTTCTCAAACTTCTTCACCTCCTCCCAGTCCTTCATGGCCAGACGGATCTGCAGACAGAGACAGGAAGGACTTGGACCAGTGTGACAGACAGACCCGTCAACCATAGAGTCCACAGAGAGCTGCGGTTCTGACCTGCTCAGGGGGACAGGCCGTCTGACTGTGATACAAACTGTACAGCAGGTAAAGTCCTCCAACGCGGATCTGAAAGCTGAACGGAGGCAGGAAGTAGCAGTAAGCTGCGTCCAGGACCAGACGACTGAACATCCGTCTCTTGTGGTTTCTGGTGCCCCTGAGCCAAGAAAAACAAAACGAACCCCAGAGATCCGAAACATTTAACACTTCACTGAACACTTTACTCCTTATTATTTTATTTAAGACGTACAGTTTTATTTTATATTTTTCGTGCAGAATTTCACACATTCACAGTTTAAAAGTTGTAAGTGTAGTTTTTTAGGGCTCCTAAGAGCGGACCGTGGTCCAAACCTGGACCAAATAAAAGTTAAATCTTGATCAAGATTGTTGTTGAATTTCAAAATTTTTTTTTTGAGCGTTTGATCGCAATTGCTTTTCTAACTTCTATAAATCAAATATTTATTTTTAAATTTACCAGAATATCTGGGCGAACTTCATCTCCCTCCAGATGTTGACGAACACCTCGAACCGAACCGACTGTGTCGCCTGGAATCGGCCCAGCAGCTCCTCGAAGTCTGATTTGACATTCTTCTGGCAGGAAGTTGTCTCAGATCTGCTGGATGACATGATTCAAACACACAAACAAACAAAAACAACCTGAATCCACAAAACTAATTTGAGGTTACGGAGCATTTTTATCAAAACGGAAGTGGACGTAAACCCTGTCGAGGACTTATTGCGTCATCAGCAGCAGACGGCAATGATACCTTCACGGTCCTCTGAAATAAAATAAAAAAACTTACAGTTAAAGTTTAAACAAGAAAACCACCACAAGCTTCTATCAGCTTGCTGATGATACAAAACTTTTTATGTAAAATAAGTAAAAAGAATTTGTAAAATACTGCATAAACGTAAATATAATTTATCATTGTATTTTACAAGTTAAGAATTATCCTTTTACATTGATGTAAACTTCATAAAAATTTAATTAAATCTACTTTAAAAGCAATGATAAATTAACTCCTGGCGGAAAAACATATTTAAAAACTAGATAGTGATTAAAACCGTTTTCTTAATAAGATCTCAACTGTTACCTTTAAAAACTATTTATTTATCAGGGAAACTAATTTAAATCCATCCCGTTTCTTACTTTTCGGGTCGCGGGGGTCACTGGTGCCCATGTCCAGCTATCACTGTGCGAGAAGTGGGAGAAATCCTGGACAGATCGCAAGTCCATCACAGGGACATAGAGACGAGACAAACAACAACCATTCAAATTATATAAAGTTGTTTTTTATTTTAACCTCGGTGCTCAGTTGGTAGAGTTGTTGCCTCTCAGCGAGAAGGTTGCCAGTTCAAATCCCGTCCCGGGACCATTCTGGGTGGAGTTTGCATGTTCTCTCCGTGCATTCTCAGGATACTTCAGTTTTCTCACGCCGACCAAAAACATGCATGTTAGGCTGATTGGTAACTCTAAATTGTCCCTAGGTGTGAGTGAGCGAGTGAATGGTTGTCTTGTTTGTGGCCCTGTGGTGGACTGGAGATCTGTCCAGGGTGTCCCCTGCTTCTCGCACAGTGACTAATGGATATGGACACCAGTAACCCCCGTGACTCAAAAAGGAAGAAGAGTGTAAAGATAATGGATGGATGAGACAAAATCTTTGGTGCATCTTTTGTATAGAAGTCTGGGTCAGCTCTTTAAAACTTTTTTTGCAGCTTAACTCTGTTCTGTTTAGCCATAAATTGTCTCTTGTAGGTATTTTTTATCCTAGTTACATTTTTAAAATAAAATATTGGCTATAAAATAAAGTTGGCCAGAAGTTTGAGGTTTCTTTTCATTAATGGTAAAACGTCGGAGTGTCATTAAATGCAGCACCAGGATGTACGTCGATTACGTAAGTTACGTCTTTGCGGAAGTAAACAATCCTCGGCTGACGTGGAGCAGAATCGTCTTAGCTGCTAAATCGTAGTTTTCGTGTAGTAGCGGCTGTTTAGGTCGCTCGACGGGGATTTTAGAGGTCTTGTGGACTCTGCTGGTTCCGTTTAGACTCCAGAATTAAAGTCTGAGAGTAAAGCAGGATGGCTTCAGCGGAGGAGGCCAGCAGGCCTTTCGCTGGATTCTCGGACGTGTCCATCCCGGAGGACATCCCGGTGGAAGGGGACATCTCCGTCCCCGTCACTCCCTCCAGTAGAGACGACGAGCTGTCCACTCTGGACGAGCCGGTGAAGGAGACCGTCCTGCGGGACCTGCGGGCCGTGGGCAAGAAGTTCGTCCACGTGCTGTACCCGAAGAGGAGCTCGGTTCTGCTGCGGGACTGGGACCTGTGGGGCCCGCTGCTGCTGTGCGTCACCCTGGCTCTGCTGCTGCAGGGCGGCGCGGCGGACAGCAACGAGCAGGGAGGCCCGCAGTTCGCCGAGGTGTTTTTGTTTGTTTGTTTGTTTGTTTGTTTACATGCTTCATCATTGACAGGGTGAACGGCAGGAGCGGAGCTAGAGGTTTACAGCAGGGGGGGACATTTGTCTCCATAATAGTTATGAGATGCTACATCTACCAAGAGACGTCATCAAGGAAAACACAATTGAACATTTTACAGAGCAACACTAACAGGTTGGGTTTAGGAGTCACAAAGAGTCTGTCAATGTGGCTACTTTTAGCTAATGTTTATGCTAAAACACCAGTTAAATACTGATTTTTTTATTTTATTTGATTCAATTAAAAACGCTGGAGTCAGGATATGATCCTGCATGTTTCAGTGAAACAACACCACATGAGTTTCCTGATACTCTGGATGGGTCCTTGTTGGGGTTTGGAGCTCATCCAACTTGTTTTGCAGCTGTAGTTGATGTTGTTTGAGATGTTGCTCAGCTGCTCCCAGTTGGAAAAAACAAAAACAAAGCACCTTGTTGTTTTGGTTATGCTACTGTTTTAATTTCAGTTTCTGAAAGTTGTCCCTCTGATTAATAAACTTCAAAGATCTCAGCTAATACAGCAGCGAGTGTTTTAGCTGATAAAGTAGCTGAAGTTTTCTGTTCTGAGACCGCCATGCAGGAGGTAAATTCAGCTCTTGTGTTCTTCAAACTCTAAAGATTATTTCAAGAACAAATCTTTTGCACAAACGTGTTGAAAATCGAAGCATTGGGACTGCGAGCCGCTCCTCACGCCAGCAGGCCGGATCCCCGCGGTTCTGTTGGGCTCAAGAGGAGACGGTCTAACGAGTTCCTGTCAGGAGCTGTTTTGTATCTTCGGCATTTCTCGAGTTGAATTTTTCTGACGTCTGCCTCGTTTGGTCGCAGGTCTTCGTCGTGGTCTGGTTCGGCTCCATCGTCATCACGCTGAACTCCAAGCTGCTGGGCGGGACGCTGTCCTTCTTCCAGAGCCTGTGCGTGCTGGGGTACTGCATCATGCCCCTGACCGTGGCCATGGCCGTGTGCCGGGTCGTCCTCTTCACCACCTCGGGGACGGTGGGCTTCGCCGTGCGGCTGCTGGTGGTGACGGCCTCTTTCGGCTGGTCCACCTTTGCGTCCACGGCGTTCCTCGCCGACAGCCAGCCAGCCAACCGCAAAGCTCTGGTGGTGTACCCGGTGTTTCTCTTCTACTTTGTGATCGGGTGGATGATCCTGACGTTCTCCCCGTGACGAACGGAGGAACCGGACGGGTGGAGCGAAGGAACTCAAACGGAGACCAGAATCTGCCTTTGGATTAACGTGGCCGACTACTGAGCTGCGGGAGAAGGACTCCGACTCAGACGTGATTCCAGACTTCCTCTGGTTCTGGATGAGACTGCGGCAGCTGACGGATGGGGTTCTGGTGCGTCCTGGTTCTGTTCTGACCATGTGAACAGAACCTCTGAATACAGTCGGAGCGGCCGTGCGTTTCCTTTCTGTGATTAAAAAGCTATCAAACGTTTTCAGAACACTTTTGGTTTGTAAATCTCTCGACTTTAACTCCGATTGTAAAATCTGAATGTTTGTTTTTCTTTCTATTCGTAGACGTTTGTTGTTTTCACGACACTAAAGACAGCTGAGATGATTCCGCTTGCAAAGTTCTGTTAAAAATAAATTAAATGTGAAATCCTCTAAGAGTTTCTGTTCTTCCCGACACAAACAGGTTTAGTCTCGAATGGGAAAGACGGTTAAATGGTGCACAGTTTAGCTAACAAACAAAAGGTCCACGCTCCTGAGGACTCGGAAGAAAGAGACTTGATCTTATTTGTGTTGTGACTGTTTTTATTAGCTGGTAACTCTTTAATTCACATTAACAGCAGCTGTTTAGTGTGCGGCCCACAAACTGACGGGGCTGAAGAAACGTCTTCCTCTGCATCGATCAGGTCCAAACCCGTCACCTCCGGGGCTGAGGTTCATTAGTGAGGTAAACTGAACTTTTATTTTGAAGTTTGGACTTTTATTCTGGTGCCATTTCCTTCACTCCTCCTTGAACTCCACCATTCAAACACTTACCCGCCGCAGTTTTTTTTTTTTTTGTTCCTGTTCTAGAAGTGCAAGAAAAGAAAATAATGTTTTAATATTTTGTTTCTGAACAAAAAGCCAAGAAGCATGCAAGCTTTAAAACATTCATCTTCCACTTTAGACTGATTTTAATTTTTGTAAATGCACAATTTTTCTAGAAACTTTAAAATTCCTCTTAGGTTTTAAAATGCAAATAATCTGCTACACGACAGCAAAATGATTCATTCAATCCTGGAAATATATATAAAATTATTTTAATGATTTATTTTGACCCTGGTTCAAACCCCGGTCCAGGGGCCATTCTGTGTGGAGTTTGCATGTTCTCTCCGTGCATGCGTGGGTTTTCTCCGGGTGCTCCGGTTTCCTCCCACAGACCAAAAACATGCATGTTAGGCTGATTGGTAACTCTAAATTGTCCCTAGGTGTGAGTGAGAGAGTGAATGGTTGTTTGTCTCGTTTGTCTCTATGTGTCCCTGTGATGGACTTGCGACCCGTCCAGGGTGTACCCCGCCCCTCGCACAGTGATTGCTGGACATGGGCACCAGCGACCCCCGTGACCCAAAATGGAATAAATGGGTAAAGATAATGGATCGATGGATTTATTTTGATGAAACACAACGCACCCCATGAGTTAATATATCTGTATCTGAATGAGTTAAAGTATCAGAATTATTTTCTTCGGCTGCTCCCTTCAGGGGTCACCACAGCGAACTAACTCGCACAAAGACTTGGCAATTGTATTTATGCTGGATGCCCTTCCTGATTCAACCACAGACCACCGAGCTACCACAGCCCTGTGTGTGGAGCAGAGAGCTGCCATCTAGGGCGCCTGGGGGAGCAGATGGTGGGAGTTACGGGCCTTGCTCAAGGGCCCAGAGTGGGGTGAATGAGGGTGTAGGCAGGTGTGGGAGCTTCACCTTTCCTATCCACATTTTGATGTCGGTCCGGGGGAATCGAATTGGTGACCTTCAGATCACAGGCTCGCCTTCTCTAACCTCTGTGCCACCACTCCCCATTCATTTGGTATTGGATCAATACCAGAATTTGCAGTAAGGCATGTCACTAACACGTGGTTCTAAGTATAATAATAATAATAATACTTTATTTATGAAGCCCTTAAAACAAACACAGCTGCCACAAAGTGCTGTACATATAAAATCAAGAACATTTAAACACATAAAACAATTGTTAAAACATTAAGATTAATAAAAAATAATAAATATGACTGACATAAAACGCTAGAAAAAAGGAAAACGTTAAATCCAAACTTTTAGAAATATTTTTAACACCTCTGAAGATAAAACTGTAGTACAATGGAGACCTGTAGGGGGCAGCAGAACCCTTCAGTGTTCACAAACAGGATTTGATGCGTAGAAGAAGAAATCCCTCTGACGTAATCAAGCCCAGACGGCTCGCAGCCGTAGCTGCAGCTAGCTCCCTTTTCGGCTGTAAACGGGCTGAACGTCTGTATAAAAGACGTCCTGCTTTATTAAAAAATAAAAATTAAAGTGTTATGCGTTTGTAAGGCTGCGTTGAGAGGCTGTGCAGGTTCCCGCTGTCTGCGAGGCTCCGCGGTGGAAGATGGAGGGTCCTCCGCAGCTCCCGCCAGAGCTCTGGGTCTACGTGTTCAGCTACCTGAGCACCGAGGAGAAACACACGGTCCGGTCCGCATCCAGGCATCTCAACAAGCTGGTCGAACACCCGTCACTGTGGAGGCACTACATCGTGGTTCTGTCCGAACTCCGCCGGTACACCTACGGCTTCTGGCACACCTTGAACCACCGAAAGCTGACCCGGGTGGCGGTGCGACACTTGCGGCGTAAAGAGTGGCGGCGCCTCGTGAAGTTCCTGCCGTCTCTCACGGCCATCGTCTTCATGGACGGCGGGCGACAGTACAAGGAGAAATACCTGGACAACCTGGCCTGGTTCCCCGACCTGCGGGAGTTTGCGGTACGGAACGCCACCTGGGATGAAGCCCTGCTGGGCCCGAGCCTCACGGAGCACCTCCGGGAGCGGCTGACCCACCTGAGCGTGTGCAACGTCCGGCTGCCCAGCACCGTGGAGTTCATCAACACCGTGTCCGAACTGGCCAACCTCCGGTCGCTGCTGTTCCACGAGCAGGGGGAGGGCTACGGGCTGGACACGGTGAGGCCGGTACCCCGAACCGTCTTCCACAACATGCTGCTGGGCCTGAAGAAGCTGCGACACCTCTCCTGGGGCATGAAGGGGGAGCCTCCGGAACCTCTTCCTGACGACTACCTGAGCCCACCGAACCCGGACCAGCCAGGTGAGTGTGGGCCTCGCAGCGTTGCCAGATCTCGCGATAGAAACAAGCAACCAGCCCAACTGGCAACCCACCACATTGTGTAAAACAAAGGCCGTTTTTAAACAGTATAAACATACATTTATTATGGCATTACATTTAAACAGCAAAGTTATGCTAAACACGTTAATAACATACTTTTACGCTCTAAAAAAAAAAAAAAAAGATTTTGCATATGTAACATTAATTCAACTTTAATTAATCCCATTGAGCTTCAGGGACTCATTTACCAGAGAGACTTGAATTTTAAACAAAGTGCTGACAACAGTGGACAACAATAGACAATCATAAAGGATGCGTACAAATTTATTTTTTTAACAGCAAACTCATAGTAAACACAGTCAACAAAAAACTTTCTTTAAACTCTGTTTAAAAGCAGACGAGCCAACTCAAGCAGGTCAAGTGTGAAACCATCTTCTTTCCTTGTTCTTCATCCTTCCCCGTCAGGTCTGTTCATCTGTAACGCAGAACTCGATCACATGTGGGAAATTAGCACAAAGCCTGGTACAGATGAAAAAGATGTAAAAAAAAAAAAAAAGCTTTTACCTGAACTACAATCCATCATCGCTGTTTTCGTTTGCATCTCGCTCTGTGCTTCCAAATGCTCCTTCCACAGAGTACAGGTTGTGCTCGAGCAGCTCCTTGGTTGGAATGAAATCTTTGCAGCACAAACTCGTCAGCCGCACCTGAACGAAACATTCGCCTGGACGTAACATCGGTGGAGGGGGTTGAAGGAACAAACTACCTACCACTCGTCTTTTGCTTTCAGTCGGAAAGAAAAACAAGCCCAAAGTCGCTTATAATAAGCAGACATGGCAACTATGGTCAGAAGTTTCAGGATGTGGGCCCCTGGGCCAGAAGGACTTGAGGAGCCCAATTCACATAATTTTAATAAATGGGGGCCCTTGATTCCTCCGTTTATCTGAACTCTTGGGAGTCTGGATTAAAAACCTCTCTCCTGTTGCAGGATCGTACGGCGGCCCCGCTCTGACCAGTCTGGAGCTGGTGGATTACCCAGAAACCCTCCTTCCTGAGAACGCACTGAGGAGCCTGACGTCGCTCCAGTCCTTGTCGGTCCGCTACAGGTACATCAGGGAGGGTGTGGAGTGTCGCCTCAGGTCCTGGATAAGTCCTCTGCAGCACCTGGAGTCTCTCACAATCATCGGTGAGTCCTCCACTTCTTTACACGTCACGTTCATTTATGAACAATCTTAATTATGGATCGATTATCACAGATTAAAGTTAAGATTGATTGATCTTAATAGAGGTGTGTGTTAACACAATGCTCAGGTGGAAAGACATCATCAAGGACCTCAAAAGCAGCTATTGAACGTCAATCAGTGAAGGGTCAAAGGTCGTTTAGAGTCCTTCGTTCCACAGAGAGAAACATTATTCATAAGTGAACATTTCAGACAGATGAGTCTTCACAACATATTCACCCTGAAGGTCAGACTGTGCAGTGCTGAGCTCCATCTCAGACTACAGGTCTCAGTGAGCAGGTTACAGGTCAAGGTGATAGAAACTGACCCTGTTTAGGTCAGTGACTCACCTGTGGGTTTGTTGGTCTTTTCTCAGGTGGGAACTCGCTCACCACCTACACGACCACCCTCCCGCCCCGTGTGAACAGCCTGACGCTGCGAGTAGCCATAACCTTGAAAGACATGGACTCCATTGCACCTAAAGTTCCTGGCCTGGAGCACCTGGACATCGAGCAGAACCGCTCCAGTGGCAGCCTCTGCAGACGAATCCCCATGTTGTTTCCTCAGCTCCGGACCCTGAGGATCCGGTGAGTTTGACACACTGCCATTTTAATTTAACCACAGCAGATTCAGGGCTACACACAGGAAATAACCTAATAACCCGTAGACTAGTTTGTAACGACTTCCTGTCTCTTGTCCTGCAGGTTTTTACCTGTAGACTAGTTTTGTAACGACTTCCTGTCTCTTGTCCTGCAGGTTTTTACCTGTAGACTAGTTTGTAACAACTTCCTGTCTCTTGTCCTGCAGGTTTTTACCTGTAGACTAGTTTGTAACAACTTCCCGTCTCTTGTCCTGCAGGTTTTTA